TGAATTTAAGATCTGCATTCAACATCATCACCATCATCATCAGTCCATCATCTTCATCACTACGTCATTTGTTACAATTACGAGCAAAGAATGTAATAGGACACCATGTTTCTTTTTTTTAAAATGTTTTAATGCATATTTCCATCATGATTTTTTGTAAATGATTGTTAACTTAATTATAAAAATACACGATGATATTAAGTCTCAATGCCTAATAGTTTCCTATGTAATAATATATATTTGTGATTAGCCTATTACTACAAATAAACCAAGTAACTTACTGTTAATTAACTTTAAAGATATTATTTAGATGTAAATATATATCATTTTTAATTTTAAGAGATTGCAAACGGCCGAGTTCGTGGCGCCGAAAAGTCTATCGTGGTTGGAAAACAAGGGAGGAGTACTTGGAATTAAATGCCGAAATATTCTTTCGGCTAAGATAAATTTTCCAAATAAAAAGATGTTAAAAAACAAACAAATTATTCAGTGTTTTTGTTTCACGTAATCGTTTAAAGGAACGAGTGCGTGTGCCAGAAAGAATGCAGGATGAAGAAATTAAACTAACGTTCTCTCGTTAGTCTATGCAAAATCGCCGAATGTTCGGCAATGATAACAAGCAAGAATAAGAATTCATCAAGACAGCATTTTTTTAAAAATGCAAGATGAAGAAGAGAAACCGTACGTCGCACGCTTTCGATTATGAGATGCTATAAGCAGAATTCGAAAAGTCGTGGCAGCGAGGGGATGATTTTCTTTCATTCGGGACAATGCCGACAAACTAAAGTTGGGCAATGAGGATTTCCTAAATGTTAAGAAAAAGAAGAGAATGCTGCAAACGAGCCAACTTACGATGGCCGTGATGACGAATGGGAAAATTAATCTAGTTGAGTTCTTCTCTTGAACACAGTTCAACACTCGTAAAGAAAAAGACTGGCACAGATGCAAAGTGTGGCAAACTGTGCCGAAGATTGAAGTTGAAACTGCAAGCAAGCTCGATCCCCCATCGGAGGAAGAAGTGTACCGGCACAAGGTTAACAAAAAAAGTGCCAAAAAAGAAACGGTCCGTGTAATGGGAATCCCGAAGTTCTCGGTACCAACACAATGTAAAAAGAAATGTGCGAAAATACAAAGGAATGCAACATAGCATATTTTATTTTTAAATAAAAGATGAAGTAAAGAATAATAGCCGTCTTAGAACGATGAAGTACAACGAGACTGTACAGGGTGGAGAGACCTACGGATTCTTCTGCGAAGATATCAAACGTCTGCTTTTCACTACACCTGTCTCTTATACACATCTAGATGTGTATAAGAGACAGAAGAAAGACATGCTGGAAACAACGACCGACGAGAACCTTGGCAGGAAAAGGTTGCCAAAATAAAAGAAGAACCTACAAGGTTCGAGATACCGCCGTTCGTGGAAGAACAGGGAGATCACCAGCGATGATTGACGAAGAAGTGGAAGAAGTAAAGTTCATGTTTTGACAGTTCCAAACTTAGACCTACTGTGCAAACCCTTTGATTGGAAAGCAATAAAAGCACGCTGTACGAGCGGACGGACAAACGCCTCAAGTGGACGTGCTGCATGTTCGCTGACGACCGCGTCCCCTTCGGACGCTTACCGGTCA